CGGCCCCATGGTTGGGCCACAGCCGAGATGTCTCGGCCACACCCCAGACTGGCCACGGCCGAGATGTCTCGGCCACATCCCAGACTGGCCACGGCCGAGACATAGGCACACCCCAGATTGGCCACGGCCGAGATGTCTCAGCCACAGCCGAGATTCGCAGGCACTACCCTTCACAGGCAAACGCGAAGTCTCAAGAGTAGCCTACTCCGAAGAAGTGGGGGGCTCGGGGCAGGGATGGAGGCCAAAAAAAGAACAAAGAAAAAGAAGAAATAAAAAAGTTAAGAAACGAGGAACTTTGAATCCACCTACGTCTGGAAGGCCCTCACGTCACCAGTGCTTTGAGGAATGTATCTGGCCAGGAAGTGAGGAACATGAAACATGTCGTTTTCCTTTTTTGTTTCTTGTTGTGAGATCCTTGTAGCCCCCTGCCAGCCAGGCAGGGAGGATTTGCCTCTCTTCGTTCAGTTCCAGACAAGTGTTGTAGCATCCTGTATCGGACCACAATCACAGAATAAGGGATGTTTTTTTTTTGTTTTTTTTTTTAATCTGTTGTTGGTGGATAGACTATGGCCCTGACTGAACTGACTGAACTGCTGCCTAAAGGCAGCCCGAGTTTCAACCGCAATTGAAACTCGGGCCCTGACTAAACTGCTAAAACGCAGTTTCCAATGCAATTACAAACTGTTTTCATGACTGGGCCGAAGTTACCCCACAAAAATATTAAAGAGAACGAAAATAATAAAGAGAAAGAAAAATGAGAAACAAGAAAGGAAAAACAGTACAACTCTGCTATTTAATCTGGTTCTATGGCCCATGCCTGTCTTTTTTTTTTTTTTTCCCAGCAGACTGCTGAAGATAAGCCGGCCTTTCTGATCTGGCATAGCCGAGCAGTATCCCTTTGTCTAGATAGGGTTTCGTTAGACACTCCAGTTTTTACAAATGTAGTGTGGTTACACGAATTCCTAAAAACGAATTAATGAAAGAAAATGTGAAAACAGGGTTAGCACTGGTCCTAAAAAAGTTAGGAATCCCCAGCCAAAAGTTCCCGAAAAATAAAGCTCCTCGCAAGGAGTCGCGAGGAGCTTTATTTTTTAGGAAACAGTGTTTCGCGGAGCCACGCCTATGCATGCAGGGCACTCATGTCTCCAATTTGGCGGCGCAGAAGTTGTCCGTTGGGCCAGAGGTCGGACATTGGAGGCCTTCGGAGGCGGGACAACAGCAATGGCCAGAATCGGTAGCTGTTGGGGCCGTGGGGGCGCAGCGGACCGGAGACCTCATGCGCCTGGTGCCCTCTCCTCCGTAGTCGACCTTTGGTGGCAAAGCAAAAGGCGGGGGAAGAAGAGGCAGTGCGCTGTCGGTGCGACTCTTCTACGTAGTCCATCTGTGTTCGCCACCTTCGAAGACGTCACACTACAGTCCTGCAATTTAGATTCGCCATCCGAAACACGATGACGGCTCCCTACACGGTGCCTACTGCTGTGCCGTTTTTTGTACGTCATCCATGGCAGCAGGCCGTCCTCTTGCCCCCCTCCGCCCCTCCCCATGATGAACCGGGCGGGGTCCAGCACCCTGTGTACCACGGACACAAGAAGACGGCAGAGGGCGGACATCAGCGGACTGGCTCCTAATACGTATATGAGACTGGCCGCGGGAGACCCTTCAGGACTGTTCCCAAAAGCTTTTCTTTTAGGAATGCATGCAACCACGCCGCCGCAATTCCTGAAAATCTTTTAGGATGGGCCCTAAATCTTTTAGGATGGGTCCTAAATCTTTTATGACTCCCTTAGGAGTGTCTAACGAGCCCGGTACTTTGGAAATTTTCCTTTTTCTTTGCCTCCGGTATCTTGGACTCGGAAACTTTCCTCCAATCTGCTTGGAT